GAGGCGGCACCGGAGGGAGCAGAGCCGCATAAGCCGATTCCTCCTCTATAGCGCCGGCTCCTGTCACTGGCGGAGTAATACCAAATGCACCCCGCCTGTGAGGAATGGATAGTGAAAGCGCGCTTCGCTCATTCTGGCCAGCGATTGGTTAGCAAGTTGCTCTTGGAAAGGTACGACACCCCCAGTGGCGTCACAAGGGGGTGCGGCCCGCACCCGGGTGACACCATTGGAGGGCTGACACCAAAATGACTCGCAGTCATTTTGGTGTCACCCCCCTCTGAAAAGTCGGGCGCTCGGGTCATGGACCGAACGCCGGCAGTATCAGGAGAGAGGAGGGGACCCGGCGGCATACCTTATCCCGCCGGGTGACTGTCCCCTCCTCTCTCTGCCGGCGTCCATCACAAAGATGTTACCAGAATACTGCCGCGCATGCGCAATGACGTCATCACGCACGCATGCGCAGTGATGTCTCGGCGGGGTGACACTCGGTTACCGCTCTGGGTGTCACCCAGCCTCGGGACATCCCCTGGGCACCCCTGATTGCCATGATCACCCTATTCTGAACTTTGCCACACACTCCTGTCTTGTAAGTCTTCTACCGGTAATAAGTGTGGTTTGTTGTACATTAAAAAAAAAAAAAAAAAGCCCTACCCCGAAAAAATGCGTTTTTTTGAGCCAAAAGACATATAAGACAGTGTTTTATTTTCGGGGAAACACGGTAGTAACCAACCAGATACAAACCATTTCTGAAGGTGTGAAGGGATCAGAACCATCCAACCCAACAGGAGTTTTCCTTCCTCAAACAGACTGGGCTTCTTCTGTTGGGGGAGGGGACTTTCTTATTCTTTTATTAATCGCTTATGAAACCATTTAAACCAAACTCCACATTTAACCCTTTCATTGTGCCACCTCTATATATCCGCACGGATTCTGTTTGCACAGGTATTGTCCTCGGAGTATTAATTCCTCTCCAGTGCGGTTCCATCTTCTCTGTATACCAAAACTTCAACCCTTTTTTTACTGAAACTTTTAAAAAAATGTTTTAGGACATTGTGTTTCTTACGTCCCGTTTTAATATTATGTATGTGGGCTCTCAGGAGGCAGTGTGGGCGCTCAGGTGGGTTGTGCGGGCTCTCAGGAGGGCTGTGCGGGCGCTCAGGAGGGCTGTGCGGGCGCTCAGGTGGGTTGTGCGGGGTCTCAGGTGGGTTGTGTGGGGTCTCAGGGGGTGGGCTGTGTGGGGTCTCAGGTGGGTTGTGCGGGGTCTCAGGGGGTGGGCTGTGCGGGCGCTCAGGTGGGTTGTGTGGGGTCTCAGGGGGGGGGCTGTGCAGGCGCTCAGGGGGGGTGTGTGGG